GCCAAGGTTTTCCCCAAACTCAACTACCACACGTTCTACCTAGAGTTTGATGATCCTCGAGTGTCTGGACACTTTGATCCGTTGAGATTTGTTCCACAAGGGAAGAATGTAGTTCTTGGCCTCGTGTCGACAAAGGTTGCAGACCTTGAGAACAAGGAGGCATTGATCAAGAGGGTTTATGAGGCTGCTGAAGTCATGGCAAAGGCGCAAAGACGGGACGTCTCGGAAGTTCTAGCAGACTCACTCGCTGTGAGCCCTCAGTGCGGCTTTGCTAGCTTCAGTATCAACCAAGGCGTAACTACTGAGGACAGAATGTGGAAAAAGCTTGTCCTTGTCAGAGATGTGGCGAGGTCTATTTGGAAAGATGCCGTTTAATGGGGGGCGCCCGCTCCGAGTTAGTTCTAGAATTATATCGAATGCAGCCATTTTCCGACTTCATCTGAGTAACATTACTTGTAAACTGTATTTAAGTTTATTCCGCCATGATTTTGACTGCGATAAACCTTGGCATGCAGCGTGAAAACAAGACGTGAAGAGGTCGACTCAGCAGAGGATTGCCGTAGCAGAACGTTACGTACCGGCACAGGAAAGAAAATATTATGATGATAGCCTTGTAAACTCAGGTTCAAATGCTTTCGTGTCTGAATTCTCACTTGGCTTGTAGCACAGAAGAACGTTTCTGGCCTAGAATTTCGGGGCGTCGCTTAGTCCATAATGATTCTGGATCGGAGGCGGCGTTCCAAACAAGCGCCGAGGCCGAGATGGCAGGTGGGCCGGGGAACCAAGTCCCGGGCAACAACTTGGTTGATCGTCGTACCATGCATTTCATCCCTCATTTGGGGCATCTGCAATCTTTCGTTGGATTAATTGGTTCTCAGATGCACTGTATCAATCATTGAGAGATCCGAAACCGAGCAAGATGGGCCAGCACGAGGAGAAAGCCGGTGGACCACACGGCAGATCATCGCCTTAAGAGGTAAAGCCTGCCCACTTACTACGCAGTCCTTGTTTTGCTTGTCGAAAGCCATATCTGGCTAACATATCGCTAAGTATCATGGCATTGTATAAATCGTCGATGTTATCAGGTGTTGAGAGAAGTCGTCTTGCTAAACTGTCCGAGAGACCGAAGATGCGTCACATATCATTGTAGAAAAGCTGCTGGCCTGGGCTCTGGACCTCGGTATGGGTTTGAGCACTGAAGCGACTGACTTGAGGTTGATTGGGCGTTTTCAATGAAGCAGGATGTCCTAATCTCCATTAACGTCGCAAGCGTGGCCAATGTCGAAGTACCCTACGTTTTCAGTAGAAGTTGAGCTTGAAATTGATGGAACGCCATGCGCAAGGAGCAGCAAGAACGAACATTATGTAATCACAATGGATTGGCCGGCTTAAGGAACCCCACCATAGCTGCGCAACAACCTACAGGGATACTGACCTTACGGATACTTGCCCCGCGCGCGCATCGAAGCTCCCCACCAAAACTCAAAGCTGTCGCGATTAACTTCAAGAAAGTTCCGACGTCACTCTGCTATTTCTCGCGCCTCGCCGGAAGACGCCTTTCCATTTTCTCGAGGTTTCTTCGCCGACCACGAACAATGGCGACGATTGGAACTCTCCAGCGCATCAGTGCTGCCAAACTCTCCGCGCTACTCTTGGCAGAACAGGCTGCAGGCACTTCGTCTGTGGCCGTCGTGGACGTTCGCGAGGATGGTTAGCCTTTTCCTTGACCTCAACTGATTTAACCGCTTGGTTACACTGCTAACCTGTATTATTTTCGTAGACTACCTCGGCGGTCATATAAAAGGCTGTATAAACATGCCCTCCAGAAGTCTCGATGCCACAATGCCCACCCTCATGCGCCGCCTCGAAGGCAAGAAGACGGTCGTATTCCACTGCGCTCTGTCGCAGCAACGCGGACCCAGTGCTGCCCTTCGATATCTCCGAGAGCGTGATCAGAATCTCGCCTCTAATACTACTGCTACTGACTCGGCGGGAGACTCGGCATCTGCGGAGCCCCAGACAGTATACGTTCTCGATCGCGGATTCGTCGGCTGGCAGGAAAAGTACGGCGAGGACGAACGATTGACCGAGGGATATAGCAAGGAACTCTGGAAAGATGGTTACTGGATGTAAGCTTCTACAACCTATACTTGATGCTTTCGAGTCACTGCGCTTCTGGCCAAAAGATTGTAATGCCCGATGGCCCAATGGGTACGTGCTCGGCCTTTCGAGTGCGACTCCATATCCAATGGCTCGCAATGCCGTGTTATTATTGCAACGTTGATGTTTACCCTGAATATCAAGGCTCCAGCTCTTCCAAGCCAAGGGGCAACGTTTGCCGAGTCACTAGACTTGTTTAAGTTGTTTGGTTGAGTCAATTGGATAGGCTGGTGAATGTGCATTGAAAATTCGATTGTTTGATGTCAAAACGCGTGTTTCTCACCTTTGAGACATGTCATTTGATCGAATTTTCTCGCGGAAGAGCAAGTCTCATTTCTCTGTATCCTACTCTTCAGTTTATATAGGAGATTTGCAACGTCATGGGACTCAGCCTAACTATTGTCAACTGAGGTCTCCCAGTGCTTTTGACCGCCTGGAAAGGAGGCTATCAAGGTGGCCTAGTGAACATACCTTATTTTGAAGCTCAGACGTCAGGCTTGTGCTTGTCGATCAAGGTACCGGACATAAGTACCCGAAAACAGATGCATTCAACGGAGACACATTAATCTAAACTTATACATGTCTAGATTCTATTCAACTGGCTTTGACCTCGATATCTATTCACTTGAAACTCTTCCACGGCATTGCCTCAAATCACTCTAGAAGCGTAAGGCCATTTTTGCGGTGCTCGCACTCAAATTTCATCAGACCAAGAAGACTTAAGTTCAGCTGTACTTCAACACCGCTCAGAAAGAGGTAGTCGCCATGTATACTTCTAGAGAAATAGCCTTCATTGTCATCGGAAGCTTTGCAATACTGACCTCGGTCTTGTGGATTGCATTTGTTGCTCATGCGAATATCTTAAATGATCAGGAATCTCGACCAGAAAACAATAAGCTCTCAATTTCTGAGTTCGCCGCCGCCTGTTGCCTGATATTCTTTGGACTTCTCATCCTAACACCGCCGATACTGGCCTACAGCATTGTGGTCCTTTGTCTGGCAATTGCTGCTATTATCCCTGGCTTTCTCTTCAGAGCTTGCGTCGAACCCGTCTGTGGTCCTTTTGCTTGCAGCAAAACCGCAAATGTGGTCGACATCTTGGATATCGCCTTCTATCCTTGCCTTTATGTCCTCCAGTATTGGGAGGCCTATAGTATGTGGCTCATCGGAGACGAGTGGGAGGAACCAACGTCTGCAAAAGCTCCAATGCCGAAGATCAAGGGCTCAGAGAAGGCAATCGAAAGTCAAAGCGGCGAGCCAAACTCCAGGTGATCGAGGTAAGTAGAACAATCTTCTCCGACGGTGTATTTGGCGCTAGGCTGACAATACTCAGGAAACAAGTCTTTCCGACACATATACAATCCGTTGTGGTGCACCTATATCATGTCAAGAGTCTAAAAAGGGCACGATGAGATTCACTTCGACATTGGCAATCGAAGATCTTCTAAAGGCAGATCTTACAGACATGTCACCTTCCAGTATGAAGTCGTCTTGTCTTAAGGTATGAACGCGAAGTATCTAGATCAGTTTCAATTAGTTCAAGTATCGATATCTCCCTAGTCAGTTGATTTCGAGTCTCCCAGTGACAATAGTAATTCACCTTCTTTTCTTGTGGTAACCATCTAGGTGATGAGTGTCGCTCAATCCGCCTTGACCCTGGACATTTCAGGTTTCCACGTTGCGATGCAGCCAAGATGCCATGGTTTTCCCATCGCGGACGGAACGGCATATGATCTATTTCTTCGTAATGCTGAAGGAACTTACCTCTCCAGACCCTCGACAGTGTTGCTACCCCAAGGCGGAATTCGGCTTCACCCCTGTCATCTAATCCGCCTTGGCTACCTTTCAGAGTCAAGCCAAGCAATTGGCATTCTCAATTTCAGGCATTTCAGCTAGTTTTTAATCTGAATACTTGTCACGCGGTTGGTCTTTCTTAACTATAGGGTGCGCTCATGGTGTCTGCGCGACATCTCCAGCCATAATTCTACTCGTGAACCTAGTAGACGACTTGTATCACAGTTCGATAGACTCAATGGGAATACCACATTACGGTTCGTATTTGTGAGCCGAAATTTGAGTGCAGAGTACGCAAAGCTCCATCATCATCCTCGTGTAGAGTATTTGGCTGACTCAAAGAACTGCCACCTCAGCCAGATTAGAGGTGAATGAGTGTTGTATTTTCCCATCTTCACTCGGGAATTTGCATGCTCGACATCAAATTCGTGAAGCCGTTTCCAGTTAAAGTATTTTCTCTAAACATTGATTAAATACTATGTGCCATAGCCACTTCTAGCTACTTTGATTCCATGAATTGGCCGTATTAGATCCCAGAATGGAAGCGAACGCGGGTCGTAGACCATCGAGCGGGCGTGTCTATCATGCTGTCTCATAGTTCGTCTCCTTCAATTGGTGGGACTATCAGTGAGCACCCAGTGTCAGAAAGCCAAGGGAAGGAGTTGTTTTCAGTTCGGACCCAATTTCTGCGCCAACTACGGTGAATTTCGTGTCCCAAGGCTTCGAAAAAGGAAGCTCTGGAGATCATCCAAGAACTCTGTCAGCCATGAAGATTTTCCGCGACTCAAAGTCATTGTATATTAATGAACCAAGCATTCATACAACACGTGTGGATCATTCTTACCTGAGGCACGCCACATTGCTCGATGCGGGCCCCCTCATGAAGCTCCCTCGCTAGGCGTCGAGACTAAACGTTTTCTGTACCGAAATTCTTTATAAAATGTCCCTGCCGCAATCATCATGGGGACGAGAGTGCTACATCCCAATCCAGGATTCCTATATCTTCAAGATTTTCTCGTTAGTTTCATTCAACATTACTTAGAGCAATGCTCAGCAAGATCGGAGTCCTCACCGGCGCCTTGCTCGGGGCCCTTCCCATGACTTTGGCATGCTTGGGTTATGAGGGTGGTTTGCCCAAGCCCACTTCCAACAAACAAATTTCTGCTCCCATCTATGTCAAGTCTGGCGAGGTGTTTGACGGCGGTTGGGCCAAGTATGATAGAAGCCCCACCTCATGCAGAGAGCAGGTGGAAGGAGGTATGGTTGAGAAAATCCTCCTTTTAACTCAGACTTCCTGCCTTACGTTGTAGCATCCGTAATCGTACTTACAATTGTGTACCAACCTTAGGTGAGAAAGACACGGCTTTCGTTTTGCAGAAGGGTGCCACTCTGCGAAATGTCATCATTGGAAAGACGGCCGGGGAGGGCGTGTACTGCTTGGGAGGGGGGTGCAACATCGAATTTGTCTGGTTCGAAGATGTTTGCGAGGACGCCATCTCTATCGTGAGTCTTCTACCTTAAGCCTTTGAACGTTCTGAACTTCTAAGCCACATAAATCCTTCAGAAGAATGACAAAGCTGGTGACGTTACCTGGATTGTTGGAGGAGGAGCCTACCATGCAGCCGACAAGATCATCCAGCATAATGGCTGTGGTCGTGTGAACGTGAGTTGCCACGTACCCATGCACATCCGCCGTTGACTAATTTTCAGAAAAGATCATCAACTTCTATGCAAATGATTACGGCAAAGTCTATCGCTCTTGCGGAACAGTGAGCCATCCCTCCTCCCGCCACTTAAGAGTTTAGCAAAAAGCTCACCGCATGATAATAGTGCGAGAAGTGCGCCCGTGAAGTTTACATTGAGGGCGTGACTGCCCGTAATGGAGGTGAGGTTGCTGGAATCACCAAGGCCAATGGTGACAAGGCCACTCTAGTAAACGTCTGCACCGATGCCAAAACCCCTTGCCAGAACTACAGTGGTCCTGGCGTCAAGGACGGCCCTTGCTGAGTGAGTAATTGAGCCTCATTTTGTGCATGTTGTCTTACAGTCAGCATCCCTAGTATTACAGTGGAGGATCTTGAGGTTCTCCTTCCATTTCCAAAAACTGCGAGTCTCAATTGCAAAGGTGATGGCATACGAGACTACCTCATCCACTCATTGGAATCAGATCGTCTAAATCATCCGGATCAAAATCACAATCATCATCAGTGCAACGTGCATTTCTGTCTCCTTTAATACTGCATTGCCGGTCCCTAGAATCATGGGAGTATCTCGAGCTATTGATAATTACCCCAACCTACTATTTACCTCATGAATTGGGACGGCCAATCTTTTTTACTTTGTGGATATGAACCCTTCTTGTCATGCGGTAATACTGGAACTAGCCCAGCACCCCGCTGATGTTCAATAGTAGCTGAGCAGGCAGTTCTGTCATGCTGCACCTCCCTAGCGAATTCACAGGTCGTTGTCTCGATGTGGTGTTGGCTATGTAATTAGCTTCTAGGTGTAAGTCATTCTGAAGCCGTCATGTAGAGATCGACGGGACCAATCCACGCCAATTCCCACCATGTGACCATACTACCGTGTCCTTTGCTCCTAACGCCACGGCCAATGATAGGGGCTGTGATGACGAGGTTTATCTGATATAGATCAATCCCGTGAATTCCGGTAGATTCAATATTAACAGAATGCGGGGAAAATCAACTTAGATACGCCGTGTGGATAAGCGTTGCCGCTCCGAGTGGTTGGCATTACCGGGTAATGCTTAGCCGCAAAAGCCACACCTCAGACTCACCGAGCGGGTAATGCCCAACCGCGATACACGTCTCTAGGAGGCCAAATCCAATGTCAGTAAAAAGATAGAACAACCCTGCTGAAATTTGGCACTTCCGCGGAAGTGAGAATGTTGGTTAGTCCGATTGATCGGCGACTGAGAGCTGAAGATAGGGATGCCTCGAAAGATGGCACTTGTTGGAGTTTTGGTGTTCTGAATGGGAAGCATCAGCTCGAGCGTCCTTTTGTCTTCGATAGGCCTAATCAGTGCAGGATCTGTGAGGAGAAATGTTCACGATATATAAGAGCCAGCTGCCTCAAAGTCTACGCGAGATATTTACTCCAACGCATCATCAGTACCGGAAGTCAAACTCCAGGAAACAATACCTTATCTATTGATTACTGCAAGTAACTCTCCGTTCTGATTTTGAGAGTGATAAGAAGCTGACCAAGTCGTAGGATCGATTTACGCTTAAAATGGTCCAATTCATTCTAACCGAAGACCAAAAGGCTTTGCGCGCCAAAGGAGCCAAGGTTGCAAAAGAAGTCCTGACACACGCCTATGCAGATTACTCTAAGCACTCTGACCAACTCACGCGGTTTCGAGCAACTCGGCCCTACTACGGCAAGTTAATAAAAGAGGGATTACTCAAGGCCTTTATCCCCAAGGCCGCAGGCGGTGACGCAGATACCCTCTTGGAGACTGCCTTCCTTCTGGAGGAGCTTTATGCAGTCGAGTCCAGCATTGTGATCCACCTAGTCGGTAGTGCTTTAGGATTGTTACCTCTGGTTCTTGGCGGCACAGCCGAGCAGCAGGAGAGGTTCTTGAAGCCTTTCCTCTCCGGTGAAGGTGATCCCCTGGCAAGTCTGGCTCATTCCGAACCAGGTGGAACTGCGAATCACCTTGAACAAGGAGGGAAGGGTCTTGGAGTAACTGCCAGGAAAGAGGGCGATTTTTACATTGTCAATGGCGAAAAGGTAAGACATCAGTACAGTTCGGCCGAGCTAAGTCTAATTTTGCAATAGCTATGGACCACAAACAGTGCCGGCTGGGACGGCAAAGGAGCAGAACTTACGTGCCTGTGCGCACGGTATTCTGAGGACGACCTCTCAGAGAAGTCCGACGTCAACCCTGCAGACAATTTGATGGTACTTATGGTGACTCGAGAGATTGTGGCTCAAAACACCCCAGAGGCCTTTGAACTTCTCAGCGAACCTGAGCTCTTCGGGCACATTGCTGTCACTGGTCCTCACACCCGATACGCCAACTTCAAAGTGCCAGCTGATCACGTTCTTTTTGCCCCCGGCAAGGCCGGACCATACATCGAACAAGCCTTTGGCATCTCCGGAGCTCTTGTTGGGGCCATGGCAGTCGGTACCATGCGCGCCGCTTTCGAAAAGGCACTCCAATTCGCAAAGAACGACCATCGCGGCGGATCCATGCCCATTATCCAAAGACAGAGTCCTGCAGACCTGCTCATCGGTGCGAAAATAAAGATCGATACTTCCCGAATGCTCGTATGGAAAGCACTCGACAGCTTGGACAACGGTCCAGGAGATGCGAAATCTCGCTTCGAGTCCTGCCTTACAGCCAAAATCTACAGCAGTGATTCAGCAGTCACCTGCGTCTGGGACTGCATGCAAGTGGTTGGCATGTAAGTTGACTTTCGGTCTTGGACTCAGTACTTAAATGCATGCTTACGAAAGACCAGGACCTCGTACGCTGAAAGCGCTGGCTTCTCACGCCTTCTGGCAGATGCTGCTGTTTTCCCCTTGTTTGATGGTGGAAACGTTGGCATCAGGCGACGCCAGTTCCAAAAACTCATGTGTGAGGAGGAATACAAGCCGTGGGCAAATCTTTAGTCGCTCTGATGCGAAAGACACTAGTTTCTCGTATTCAATTGTATGTCCCTTCAAAGACTTCCTAGTTGAGGCCACCCAAACCATGAAAGCGGAGGGTGCTTAAGCTAGAAGTCTTGTGCATAGCACACCATAGCCGTCTCGGTTTGACCTATTAACAGTAATTAAATCATTCAAAGTGGAATGAAAATCCGGCGGTCTGGATCCTGGATTGCAGCGTGATTTCTACCTATTTATTAAGGTTCATCGGGAGGAATTTGTACTAGCAAGTACCGCAGCGACCGGCTCTCAATACGGGTAGACTACCTTGTTGGCATGACGATATTGTTCTGGCTATCTCAAGTGTTCATTTGCATTCCGCTCTCGCAGTCTCCACTTTGCTCTGAATAAATCAGCCCTTGGCCAACCGCGATCTTGTGTAACCATCACGATCACGTTTTCAACACAATCCGATTTCTTCGACAACTTCTTCTCAACTTTGAACAAAGCCATGGATTCTCATCTGCAAGCCTTAGTCAACCACTTGGTGATGATGGCCACCGTGTTCTCTGCAGTCGTGTTGGCGGTGTCCTTCATGACGGCGGCTATCGACATGCGTGAAGATAGCATCACACCACAACCTCAATGTCCAACCAGACCGAAACCGCGACTTGTCTTCTGGCTCCTTCTCTCGATTATACAGTCAATCATCATGCTCTTATGGATGGCTGGCTGTGTGTTGTTTGTGCCAGTCGCGGTCGTGCAGATGGCTATCTATTGCCCCATTGCGGTCATAGGCTTCGTCATCCAACAGACAAGCGGGCATCATTATGCCGCAGGAGTAGCTTCTAACATTTGGGACGCTACTACAAGTTGTGGGGTCGCACCTACAACCCTGAGAAAGCGGTCCCTTGATGCGACTCTCTGGCTTTCCGGTGGTTTCTGGTCAAGGCGACAGTGTGGGGATCCCGAAGCACAAGAGCTGATGAATAAATCGCCGTTCAGGAACGAGAACATGGAATATATTTGTTGAAGGAACCTTAAGGTCTCTTCTTGCAGCATTCCAGCTTTCGAAACGGCGAACATAGGATGTAACTGCGTACTAGAAGGTTGTTGGGACAAGAACTTGCATAGCATCGAGTGCCAAGCTTTACCATCTACAGAAGTTTAGCAAGTCCGGCTGTTCTAAATGGGATGATACGTCGTGTTTTTCGTCGTATGGTGGACGGTATAAAGCTTTTTTACCTACATTTGAGCCTGGGCACGCTCTTATTTGGTGTAATATAAGGTACTTTAGTCGAAGAAACCGCCTGGGTGTAGAAGTGTCATTCTTTGTCCATGATTGAAGTGATTATATTAGATACTTAATTAGTTTAAAATCTGAAGAAATCAATTGAACTCCCCGCTATGCAAATTCCACTATGTCCACGTCAAGTGACGCTCCCAAAGGCAAATCAATCACGGAACAATCTGTCAGCTACATATCCACTTTTTATCGAAGCCCACTATCGAAAGGTAGAGCATTCTCGCCGTGTAATTGTACGTAGTCATCCCAAGCCGCGCAAACCTCGCGAACATCATCAGGGATCTTGCTTTGTCGGACTGTCTTTGGCTTGACCAAAAAGTTGATGTAGAGACCAACGCTAGCGTGCCACGCAGTATGGCAATGGAAGCTCCAGATTCCTGGATTCTTTGCTTCAAACTGCACAACAAGATTTCCGTTACGCCGGAGAAGTTCCGTATCGGCGCGGGCCGGGTTCTTGGGATACTTCAGAGTGCCGTTGTAGAACCCATCCGATTCGCTCAGGATCTGGAAGTCACCGCCATGAATGTGCATCGGATGGACGGAGAAATGGTTGTTCAGCACAACACGAACATGGCGGACATCGTCAGGAATCGTGGCCAAGATGTGCTGGGGATCCTTAAGATACTCGGCGTGACCATCTACTGCCTCGATGTACAACGGGCGGCTCCAGTCGGCTTTGAATGTCACATTGTTCATCAGCCACTGATGATTGCCGCTAGCGTTTGATCTGAAGTCGATGTCGTAGAGAAGTGTAAGATCAGTCTTAGGGACACGCTTCTTGTAAATTGGCTTCTTCAAGTGAAGATCAGGCTACCAAGGCAGGTTGAATTAGCATGACGAGCTAGTTGGAAGGGAGATCAAAATAAGTAGCACTTACATCACCGCATGTTGCAGTGAAGCTTGGCAGAGGCGCAACAGTTTTGGTGGCTGGAACGACCGTGGTGGGCGTCTCGTCATAGTAGATAGTGCCCAGTGTCTCGTTAACTTTGGTGGCGGCACACTGAATTCTTGAGCGCATGTAGTAAGACCGCTTCGGGTCTCCATTACCCTTGACAAGAACTTCAGCTCTCATGCCGACACCGAGGATGATGTACTCCACTTCGTAAGGCTCTACAGGCACGAAGTCCATTGTGGTCACAATGATCTTGTGGCCGTCTATGGAAAAGATTTGCATAGCCTCGACACTTGTGTTGATCAACCGGAGCTTATGAACTTTGCCAGACTTGAATCTCAAGGATGCGCGTGGAGCATTGCTCTTGCAAGTCGTATTCGCGGGAGCAAGTGAGCAGTTGAAGTGATTCATTCCGTTGATCAACTGGTTATTTGATTGAGGGGCGTAGACGCTGGTATCATTACTGGTTGATATGGCATCAGAGGCAATCTTCTCGTAAGGGTAGTGATAGTAGTCGGAGAGTGTGACGGGGCCCAAGTCGAGATCGTATTCGACGTGAGAAGGGCCGTAGATAACCATAGGACCCCACAGACCTCCGCCATACTGCAGCGCATGGTGGCCATGGTACCATGTCGATCCATACGTGCTGGCTTTCCAACGATAGGTGAAACTCCCACCAGGTACAATGGGACATTGCGTGATACCGCTGACTCCATCCATGAGTCCAGTCCCTTGCTGGTGTATGCTTGTAAGAACGTTAGCATAAAGTAGCCAACGGCTGTGGGGACGTGATTTATTATGGACTCACCCATGCCAATGCATCGCTGTGCCTTCCTCCGGACCCGTGATGTTGTTGTGGACGGTGATCTCGACAATATCCCCCCAGTTCGCCTCAACGAGAGGCCCAGGGAACTGGCCATTGACAGTGAGAAGTGTTTGTTCTGTAGGCAATGACTATGATCAGTTACTGGCTAGGGGTAGGCGAAAAATGCGATCTGCCTTGCTCGATCGAAATAGAGATCATCTGATGGTGAGGCTAAGGGTTGATGTAACGTACCAAATCCATCAGGTGCTAGGACAGCCCGTTGTATCGTCCACTCGTATTTTCGCACGACGCCAGTGTCAGGCACATTCTCAGGATCAGATTCGCATGTGCGGTTACCCCACGGTGGGCTAGCTTTCTTCTCGCTCGATTTGGCTCCCAAATATCGGGGCAAACAGGTTGGGGTTGGCGTAGTTGTGGAGATACTCGCCGCAGTCCCAGACAAGGCATGCACTGTCTGTGAGATACCCGAAAGGAGGCCACACAAGCTTGGAGTATGTTAGCGCTGACGAAGAATAGGCTCGCGTGAGAAGATTTGAAATACCTCAAGGCCGCTGATACTGAAGGCTTCATCTTGTTGTCGAAACCAAAGGCAAAGGCAGTGATGGAAGGGTTGAAGTGACAGTCAAACGGACCGAAAAGTGCGACCCAGACGTCTGCGTACGACTTATAACTAATGCATCAGAACTGAAAACACTGCCATCTGACTGTGCATTTCATTTATTTGAGAAGGCCCTCACGGAATTCGTTTACCTGCCTAGCCGGCCGGCGACATTCGTGATCCCGGCGCATAGGGTTAGTTTGCCCCCAGACTTACGCCAAGGACAGAGAGAAAATAGAATGTCGGGATCCCAGGGTCTTACGGTGCTTCCGAGGTGGCACGCTCGTGGCTTTCCCGTCGGGTTGGGCTGAGCGTTGAACGACTGGGCAAGACGTCGAGCTGCATGTGGCTTGAAGCTGAAATGCCAGCAATTGAGGAGTTGCCGCACGCGGCCAACGCCACAATACCTGACATACATGGTTGCCATGCCGCTAAAGCACGGATCTGCCGGCATACTTGTAGACAACTTGTTTGCAAAGGTTGCTTGGTTTGATACTAAGGTACTCATCGCATAGAGCCAGGGTCTGCTGCTGTGCTTGTTTGCTGCCGACCTGCAATTTGCCTGATAATTTATTGGTGCCATTGAGTGATACCCCTTGCTGTGGCAAGTGTGCTAAGATATTCTCGACTACGCCACCTGATTGTTTTATTTCTGGTCTCGGAAACTTATTAGCTCTGTGTCACGTTCGTCGAAGCGTGGCACCGCACTGCTGGTTCTAGGGCTGTGGAACGAGCTAGGCTGGCTAGATCAAGTTGAGTGAGTCGACTGACTGGGCTCGCAGCGGCTTCCGTCGAATAGGAATAGCCACTTTGACAAAGGATTTAAGGTACGAGCTAAAGGCTGGCTCGCTTAAACTGATCTAGCCAAAGATGTCAAGCCGCTTGCATCCTACATCGATTTCAGCAAAGGGCTGTCAAGTGTCATTCAGATGAATTTCTACTTTCCGATTCTCTTCAGCGAATAGGGCGGTTTACTCAAAGACGCCATAGCAACTAGCCGATTGGCGCCAAGCTCGAAACGGCTTCAAAGACCCTCTGGCCCGAATTCTGGGTAAGCCACGATAGCTCTAGAGTGCGAGCTTCTCTGCCTGATATCCGGTGAGGGGGAAGCTTCCAAGATTGCCAAGAATGTGCCGCAATTTCCGGTCTTGGATGGAGGGCTTTGCTATGAGCCGTGAATAACATGAACGCGATGTGAGGGAAGCCCGTCGGAAGATTCTGATGCCATGGATTCGATGCGGGAGTTCGCCAACAGATATGGTGGCAAGTGATATTTCATTCTTTGGCAATATTGTATACTTCGAATTCTCACCCTTGCCCCCAATAATCTAATCCAGAATCAAACGCCCTACGCCAATCCCCCCCCCCCCCCCCCCCCCCGCACCGCCCCCCCCCCCCCCCTTCTTCACTCCCCCCCACTCGCCACCCTAACCAAACATCTTGGTTCCAGCAAGAAAAAACAAACAAAAACCCCCCCCCCCCCCCCCCCCCCCCCCCCCGAGACTGGGAAACGCCATCCCGTGCTTTTGCTACAGCAAGCGCAGTTGCATCAGATAAAAATATGGTATCCTTGAAGAAAGATGAAAAGGAAGGTGAACGAGAGTCTTAAATCCGCCAAAAGTCTTTCTGTCCAACCTGCTTTATCTTCGCAAGTGCAACCAAAAGGCCACCCAGCAGCATGGAAGCGCCAGCAAATAGTTGCGCATAGAGGAAATCGCCGTGATTCAGCCCAACAAGACTTCCGCCAATGGGTGGACCAGCGAGACAAGCAAAACTGACAATGGTGAAGACCATGCCGATGCGTACCCCGAGCTTTGACATGTCCGACGTGACCTCGCCCATCGATGCCGTGAAGAGCGTCTGCACTGCGTTGGCGGTGAAGGCGTATGCAATGACCCAGGCGTAGAGTCCAGCCATGGAGCTCACGGCGATCCAGGCAAAGACGTTGAGGCTACTCAAAAGCAGTGATATAACGAGTGTTCTGAGAGGTTTGATGCTCTTGTCAGCGAGGTATGGGGGCACAAGTCGACCAATTATGCCCACGGCCGACATGACGATGAGGACAGTCAAGGCTCCGCTGTCATCGAGGTTGAGCTTGTTGCGACTGAAAAGGGGGACCTGGTGAGGAAGATGTTAGTCTATCATTTCTGATGAAAATGGCAAGAGACAATCCGTGAAGATACGTACATAATAATATGCGAAGTAGACGCCCAACAAGGCGAAGAACATGCCAACGGTGAATAAGAGGTACGGCAGTTCCTTGAAGGCTGACAGTTCGAGCAAGGGACCACCCTTGCGGGTCGCAGCTTTAGGTCGCGCAATGAGGTAGATGACGATGCTGTCAGCAAGAACCAAGAAACCCATAGTGCGAAGCGTCCACTGGATTCCCGTTCTTGGGATCATCTCACGAG